ATCAATTTGCTAAATCTCAATTGAGGTTTGCCTCAAGTCAAAATTGAATTTTTACCCAGTTTACAATAATCATTTGTAAAAATGGGATTTATGCATGGTTTTGTTTTCATAGTTCAGATGCTAAATAGATATTAGATGTTTTTGAATTGAATTAGATATTTCATTCACTATTTTCAAAACTTTAAAATTAATAAATGTAATAAATATTTATAAAAAGAAACAAGCAAATTCAACTCCAGCTTAAATAACACAACCTCAGTGTGAAAGAATTTTACTAAATTTCTTATACTGTAAAATGATGCATATATATAAAATCCAAAAATATTTACACATTTTTGAAGACATTGTAATGTATTCAGTAGATATGACAAAGCCAGTATTGTTAAATTTAACGCAAACTACTATTTTCAAAAATGTATTTACGAAACTTTTAACTTACATAGCTTTACATCTAAATTAGTTCTTGTTATTAAGTCTTATATAAATATGTTTCACAAGATCCACTTGTATTAAAATCCTGATAAAATTCAGTTCAAAAGTAATTAAAATCTAATTATCCAATAATTATTCTAGCACTCCATTGCTGCAATGGAGTTAGAGTTTTCATTAAATCCAACGCTTGCACTCATTTGTAAGGTGTCATCTGTAGTTGAACTATCCATAGTGATATTGTCACAAACATCACTTTCAGGAAATGCATTAGGATTTTCACAACCATTTGTAGAATTGTCATCCCAATTAATTTGGAATCTAGTTACTCTAGGTTGAGTTTCTAATATATTACGTACTATTTTATCATATTGAGGAATTGCAGGTGGTGTCTCTCGGAGTTCTTGTTCACTTTCATTATAGTCATTGTTTATGAAATACCTATAAATAAATCATAGATTATGTTCACTTCATAATATTATCTTGAAAAGTTAACTTGTTTAATAAATTTAACAAAATATGAAATAAAAGAAATGTGTATATATTTGTGTACTAAATAGCTCCAATATGTGGAGCAAAAATCCTCTAACTACTGGATATTAAATTAAAGACTGCCAACTTGTATGCATATTAAATCAATTCACAATGCACTCACACATATTTGTGAGTTTACTCACATGTGTGAGATTTGAAATATCAAGCAAACAAATTGCAAGTACTGTTTACTCATTGTTCTGTAAATACAAATAACTATTATAAAATTATTTAGTTTAAGTATATTCACCCTTTAAGCAGACTTTAATTTGATCGAAAAGCAAGACTATAGCCTCACATATGGATTTAAAATAAACTTGAAAACATCCATATCATATGGAACGGTTACTATTTATTACAAGAATTAACATCAAATGAAAGATGAGAATGTAGCTACTGAATCTGTGTAGTTCAAATTAAGCAAGCAGTGACTGCTTACTGAAAATAAAATAAAATTCACTTACCCAACTCGAATAAACTCTTGGTTCCTATAGCTACAGGTTAGAAGTACTACTGTGACACCCACAGCATCCTTTTCGGGAATGCGAGTAACATCTGGAGGATCTGCTTGAAATACAAACATATGTCGACCTTCTGGAATAGGTCCAACATAAATGGTATCTAAAACCTGATCGTGCTCTTCGGTCTCTGCAGATCCGACATAAATCATTTTCCACTCCAAATCTAAAATCGGACATATCATAAAAACTCATGTAAACAATTTACGTCAATTCCTAAAGCCTAACCTTCTTTCAATTCCTCTATACATTCAAAAGTAAGTTCGAATTGAAATGGATTCAAGAATGCGCTTGGATTGTCTAGAACTCGAACATCGGTTAATTGAATTTTCGCCATTATCGTCGAGATTGAAATAAAATATTCTAAAACAACAAAGATGAACGTTGATCAAAAATGATTAAATTTAATTAGCAAATAATTAACTTTATCTGACACAAACGTACCTACTTTCCACGAAGAGATGAATGTATACGATTTTGTTCGACTTTTGTATTAAAATCAAACAAAACGTCAACCTAGAAAATTATAGTTGACTAATTCGGCAATGATATTTCTAGATTTGGCGCGTAATATTTCAGTTCTATAATGTTGGTTATTGTGTAAAATTTTTCATGTTTGCACAAGTTCACAGCGCCGATAATAAACCTGTGCACTAAGGGTAGGTTGTTTATTTATCAAAACGGTTTCAGGATTATTATAATCATAGATAAAAGAAAAGTATTATAATTAATTATTAGCCTTTAAATATTTCAGAAATAACCTTGATTCTCGACTTTTTAGCCGACATATTATTTGAACTTATCGACCGATTGTATCTATGTAAGAAAACTAGTTGGAATCGGCATAGGCAACGGCTTTATGCTGTTTATGCGTATTTATCTAGGGATGGCACTTCCCGCACCGTAACGAAATGTTCGAGTAATATTAAATGTTTTCGAATAGATTATTATAAATGTAGCACTGTCTAATATTTATAAGAAGTTATATATGGGCTGATTCGATTCGATTTTTAGTGAAGTGAAGTATACTTAAGCGAGTTTTAAAACTTAGCCAGAATGTAATCTGATTTTCGATATACAAAAAAAAATTTTTTTTAAGAAAAAAAATTTGGAAAAAAAAATTTGAAATATTTTTTCAGAAGCAATTATTTTATCAGAACAAGCATAAATTTTTTTGAATTTATTCAAATCGGATGCATAGTTCTCTCAAAAACTGCCTTTTCTTGCACATTTAGCTCCGTATGTTGGAAATGGCTGGACCTGCCTTTGCCGAAAACTATTCACTTGTTCCCCCACTTACAAATTGAATGTTTATAGATCATTGAAATCAAATGTTCGGAAAAGCGTTTAACGGAACGGAGACGTTAAAAGCGTACGCGATTTTTATTTTTTGCACTCTTTGGTCCGTATTTCCGAAACGGCTGGATTTACCTTTGCCAAAAACTAATGAGCACATCTCCCTATCAATAGGAATCGAATGCTTTTTTAACCATTCAAATCGGTTGATCCGTACGCCCGAAAACGTGGACGAAAAATTGTATCCATACATACATACACACACACATCCATTTTTCTGAGGTATGCCTTAATGTTCAGAAACTTTTGAAACGTGAAAATATGTAAAAATGTTCAATTTCGTTTTTTTGAACGATTTTAATAACTTATAACGATTACCGAATAATACTACTCTGCGGGAAGTCAATAGATAACATCAAGTAGATAAAGTTTTTGAAAATTTGTTTTCATTAAAAACTTTCATTACATTTTTCAATTAATATATTTAAATCAAATTTATAATAATCATTATAAATTGTTAACTATTATTGTAAAAAATATAGTGCACAAACACAATTAATTTAACAGAAACGGCCAAAACTATACCAAAAACTATAGTTTATTATAATAAGCACAATTTCCAACTGATATCTTTAGAAAGCGTTTAAATTTTCAAAATCGATTGACATTTTTTGCGAAAACGTTGACGACAAAATTTGCATTTATCTACAAATTGCAATTGCTGTTAGTTTTAAAACTATATAACTGATTTGATTATATTCAATTCCCTGTCCCAATCGAATTTCAAGAAATGGTTTTCGAATTCTTAAAATTGGTGATTTTGATTTTAAGAAAACGTCAACGGTAAGTTAAAAATTAGTTCATGTACAACACTCACATACTTTTTCCAAATTTTTGGTCAAGGGATTTATGACTTGAAATATCAAGAAAACAAAATTTTCAAATCGGATTTCTAGCGAAATCTTTACTCTTCGGGAAGTTAAAAAAATGAACAATACGCCCAATAAAAACTAAATTTAAAACATCACTATAAGTTATTAGTTTTGCGAAATTTTGAGATTTAGATGTGTACGGTGGCGAGTATTTTTTCGGAATAAATATTTATTACCATAAGAATTTATTTACGCGCGATTAAAAGGCCTATAGAAACACAATAATGAATAAAATGTTTTTGAGTAAAAGAATACTGTATTTTATCTTAACATAAAATATTATAAATGTGTCAACATAAAAGGAGCATACTATGTAAAAGCTAAAGTATGTTTTAATACTAATCTACACATTGTAAAAATATGATTGTAATTCTATAAATGTTACAAAATTATATTTTTTTATCTTTCATTATTATTATTTATTATATATTTCATTATTATTTATGAAAACGAATTAAGTTTAGTTAACAGATGGTAATATAACAACCAATACTTGTGTTTATGCATACATACATACATACATACATGGATACATATATACATATACATATATACATATATATATATATATATATATATATATATATATATAATACAGCATCTTTGTACAAAATTTTAGCATAGAAAAGGCTACGAAATACGAAATTTTAATATGCAATGCAATACATCTGTATATAATTATTGTATGGTTCTAAGAATATATTACAAATTCAATTTGCAGATAAGAATACCATAAAAATCGCCTTTTTATAAACTAGTACTATTTTACTAATACACTTGCAACAATTTTTAACAAATCTAACAAAATTAACAATGTATAACAATAAAATTTAATTACAGAAGTAATTGCATATTACATATTGTAAATTCTCTAAATTTGCAACTACAACATAGCAGTATATATAAATAGTTTTTGTAATTACCCTCGCAATTATTATTATGTCAAATAAATATTCATACACTTTATCTAATAGATATAGTTTTGGTAAAATATGTTATAAATAAATGCACTGAGCATTTACATAAGATGAAAAATAATTCATGATCGATTATCATTACAACTTTTATTAGAATATACTTAAATTAAAATACTTATTTGTGAAAATATTTTTCCAACCGTGCAATATATTATTCTTAAAAAGAGTATTTAAATTACACAAAACAAAAAAATGCAATCTCGTACACACTTTTAAAAAAATAATATTTTAATTTCAATTCAATTCGAATATAAAATTAAATAATTACATAGACAATGTCAAAAATATATTTTTATTTCTGGTTAAAACTATTTTTACCTTACTTCAACTTTAATGCATGGGTTAAAGAATGCAGAATTTGACTCTATATACAAGCAATACTATAAACTATATTTTATAAAATTTGTAAATTTGTATAAAATATTATAATATTTATGGTACATCTATACAATACAGTAACAAATGTTAACAAAAAAAAATTAAATTTTTGCCGAATTACGTTATCGATCTAGATACATCGCCCCTCTATTGTCTCTTGGGGATCTGGGTATACGCATAGAACCAGATGATACGCATGGCCCAAATTCTTGCTCTTGTTCCTCCAATTGCCTAGCAAAAGTTTCTTCCAATCGTTGTTTTCTAGGAGTCAATTTTGCTTTCCACTCTCTTAATTCCGCGCTGTATGCGTCATCCCTCTCTCTCAACTTGGAAGTTTCATGCTCCAGCAGCATTTTCCTTTTCTCATTTTGCAGCTGCTCCAACTCTCGAATCGTGGCGTCACTAGTAGCTCTCAATTCCTCCAGTTGTCGCTGGTGCTTCAAGTCAAAACGTTGCTGTTCCGCTCGATAGCGTTTCTTTTCATTTTCTTGAAATTTCTTCAATTTATCTCTCTCCTGCTCGGCATCAGGGATGACGCTGATACGTAAAGACTCACGGAACATCATTTCTCTAGCCTTCATTTCAGCCCGAATGCGTTTTGGCAATGTACGCTTTTCACCAGATTGCCGTTTGAGAAGTTCTTCCTCTTTTCTTTGATTCATACGTTTGATTTGTTCCAGTTCTTTTTCATGTCTTATTATCATCTGGTGTCTTTGCAGGAAAAATATGTCTTTTAGTTGACGTTTAGCAAGTTGGTGTTTTTCATGAATTTGCTTTTCTTCAAGCTCCCAAAGCAACGCTTCACGGGTTCTCATCACTTGTTGTTTCTGCTGAAGGAATTGGCGATCCATTAATGCAATTCGGTCGTGATGTGATTCACTCAGGCGGCGAAGAGAACTCTCGTGATTATCGTTTAAATTGCCCAAGAAAGCTCGTTCTCTCTCCTCATGCTCTATTTCTAAAGCTTGCTTGCGTACTCTGAAAACGTCCTTACGCTTATCCTTTGGTAGGAGATCGACTTCTTGCTTTAATAGTCGTAACTCTTGTTTTAAACCTTCACGGAATAATTTCAGTTCTCGTTCTTGCTCTGCGCGTATTTTTTTCGAAGCCATTTTCATTTCGGCTTCATTTTGAGACTCAGCCTTTTCAACCTGCTGTCTTTGTTGATGACTCAATGATTCTAAATCAGACTCATAATTTCTTTCAAGCGTAAGACGTTCTTGATCAAATCGTTTGTCTTGTTGATCTTTATTAAGATGCTCTTTCTGCGACAGATCTTGAAATTGCTTTTGTTCTTGTTTTTGTAACATTTTTAGTTCTCGTAACTCTTGTTTCCTAAAAATATGATCATCATAAACTCTACCATTTTCCTCATCTCCATAAATGACTTTGCTGGTAGTTGTTGTGACAATGACGCCATCGATTTCGAATTTACGAGTGCGCTTCCTAGTTTTCTTCTTCAAGTTTCGAATATGCAATTCTTCTTTGGAAAAAGTGCTTCTTTCAGAAGCACCATCATTCTTCCTTCTAAGAATAACTTCTTCCTCTAAATCGGCAGGATTGGTTGGTTGTGTACCAGCATGACTATCATGACTAGCTGTGGTAGAAATACTTTCGGCATCTGACCGATCTTTGACACCACGACTACAAAGTGAAGCACATTCAGAATCAACAGAACCAACAGAACTGTCAGGTGATTCACGCTTATCAACAACTGTTTTCTGTTTAATTTTTTTCTCTCGCTCTTGCCTTTTAATATAACTGACATTTTCTCGGCTGTGAGCTAAAAATTCCCGACCATTTGGTTGATAAATATGCGAATTTTCTTTACCGCCCTTGTTATTATGTTTGGCAATAGCATGAGATAGGTTGCGAGTTTCATCTCCAGAATCACTTTTACTACTCGTACTCCTGCCAGTTGAAATACTTGATAAATCACAATGAGAATTTCTTTTTAGAGAATAATTAGAATCGCCAACATTTCCGCGAACATCAGATTCACTAGAAACACTGATAGCTGAAGAATCTTTGACTTCAATTTTTGCTTCACCTACTGATACCACTGATACATGACTCATATCGCGAGATTTTGTTTCATCAGACTCGGGACTAGTAAAACCAGAATCATTTACATTCACATAGCTGGAATTAACAATTACAACTTCACTTTCATCTAATTTTTGTCCTTTGATTGGATCTTTGCTGGAAGACTCATTTGTTCCACTTAAAGAATATTCTAATGAATCCAAAGATGGGTAACAATCATCATCAGTTGATGATTCATTTATTTGCGTTTTATTAGTATCATTTGCCACAATTATAACTTCATTTTTGTCCATGTTACCTTTATTTGGAAGGACGTGACCATCAATAATAATAGGAGGATGCATGGTCACAACAGTAACTTGGCTGATGTTACTGGCCAGACTGTTGGATAAATCAGGTAACTCAGTGTTAATTGTTACAGTGGATGTATTTGGCTTTGCTCTTTCAGCATTTGGAGAAGAAGAAATGATTGATACAACAGGTTTAGACTTCTCAACAGGTGACATTCTCAGAGAATCAAAATTCTCAGGGCTGCTTCCACTATTTGGACTTACTGAAATAATTCTAGACACATCATTACTAACGACAACTTCCTTTCCTTCTTGTAACAGAGCATTGCCATTATTACCTTTTTCTGGAATAGTATATGGTGGTTTTTGTTTATTTAATGTTTTCTCAACTTTCTCCACAAGTTGCTTAATATTTTCTGAAACCTGTTTTTCCGGTTTCTCATAAGTAGCTATAGCCTCACACTTTGGCTCAGTCTTATCAATTGGAGATTTTATAGCATCTTCGGGCATTGAGTTAATAACTGGGATATTTTTATTACATTGAGTAGAAACATTATCCGTGCTATCAGTTTTAGAAGATTCAGAAATTTCTTCTATAGTATTTATTGTTTGAGATGTAAGAGGTACAGGTAAAGGAGGTGCAGGAGGTACTACATTGCCAATTGGTGGAGCTGGTGCAGGACCCTTTTCCCTTTTTCCACTCACAGATTTCTTCTCAACATCGGTAATCGGATCAGGTGCCAATTGCTTTTTAACTTTCTTCTTTTCGGTATGATTTTCCTGTTCGACTTCACGTTTGTTTTCACTTGATTTCTCCACTACTTTTTCTTCTTTAGGAATATCAATAGGTTTAACTGGTTCCATTACCTTTGGCTCTTCCACAGGAATTTCCACAGCATTTTCACTCTTCAAGCTCTTAGCATCTATATCTATGTCCTGGACAGATTGTGTTTCAACATCTATTGGCATTGCAGAGTTTCGGTTTTCTTCAGATTCTTCCAAGTCTAATAATTCTTCTTCAACAACATCTGCTTTGTATTCTAATAACAAGTCTCTTATAGGTTTTGAATCTATTTCTCGACATATGAAAGGATGTTTAAGTAAAACATCTGCTGAGGGACGTTGCATTGGATCTTTAGTTAAAGCTTTTGCTAAAAAATTATTAAAATCCTTTGACCATTTTGATGGAGCATCAAGTTTTGGTGGATCATTTTTTTGTATCTTCAGCAAAACTCGTAAAGGAGACATTTCATGATTGGGTGGTTCAGTTTGAGCTAATTCAATTAAAGTGATTCCTAATGACCAAATATCAACTTTAAAATCATAAGGATTATCTCTGAATGTTTCACACAGTACTAACTCAGGAGCCATCCAATAAGGTGTACCAATAAATGTATCATGCTTTTGTAATGTATGCTTGTTCTTTGCTGAAACTCCAAAATCCGCCAATTTAACTCCCCCTGCCATAGTTAAGAGTACGTTACCAGCTTTTAAGTCTCTGTGTATAACCTTACTTTTGTGCAAAAAACTTAAACCTTCACACATATGCTGACAGACATATGCAATTTGAGGTTCACTTAATCCCTTTTCCAATTCTACCATTATACTATCCAAGGCACCACCATCACAGTATTCTATAAGCATCCATAGTTGCTCTTCAATAAAAAATGCTTCGTGCAATTCAACAACATTAGGATGTTTGCATTCCGAAAGTATATCGATTTCAACCATAAAATCACTGAGATCGTCTTCACCTTCCAATGCGCACATTTTAGCTGCAGCAAATTCACCCGTTAGCTTATTTTGCGCCTTATACACTTTACCAAAGGCACCATCTCCAAGCTCTCCTACCATATCCCAATATTCCTTTGGATCTATATCCATTCTTATGTTATTGTAAAGCTTTTTCTTTTTGCTATCGGTGCCTCCACCGAAATGGAGCACTTTCTTTAAATTATTTAAGAATGACATTTTCAAATTCTTTTATATTATATAAATGTATATATAATATGCATATATAAAACTATATATAAAAATGCTCTAATTTTAAAAAAATATTACTTATGCATTGTAAATCACAAACTTGCAATGGAAAAATCTATATCAACATGGTTGATATCCAGCAACCATAGTTCTGTGATGAAAAAGATAAAATAAATGGCTTAAAAAAATACAAAAAAACACTGTCACAAAACTACATGCCTATTAACTATTTCATTCACTTTTTAATAAAACAAAAATTCTAAAACACTAAAATCAAAAATTGTTCCCATCGTAATCAATATTTCCATTTTAATGTTTCAAGGTGTAGCAAATTTTACTAATCTTCGCTCGGAGAGTAGTACATATTCTGATTGCAGCAAGATTTTCATCCAATCAATGGTCAGAAATCCTCACTAAGAACTGTAAATAATATTAAGAAATTATTACTAAATAAATTATGAAATTTAATAAATTAATAACGGTTGCATGTTTGCATCATATTCGATAAAAAAAAAACAGTTAATGTAACTGCAATCGTTATGTCACACATAAAGATTGACCCTTATGAATAATTGATTTCGATAGTAAGAAACAGCACTAAAAGTAAGCATAAATGTGACTATATTATCAAATAATTTTCTAAAGCTGAATAAAAAAAACAATATTATAAAATAATTTTTTGCAGTAAATAATTTTACAAATTGTGAATAAGTAAACATATCATTTGCTGCAATTATTGCATTTATAATAAAAGCATAATAAAGCATAACATTTGTTATGTTACAATATGATGGTTCTTGTAACACGATTGGAAATTTTCATGTTACTATTAACAATAAGTGATGGACTTGTACATATGTAATCTATTTCTGTTTCTAGTAATATAATACAAAATTCACAGTTTATATTTATATTTGATTTCAAAAAGACCAATTGTAATAATTAATTACAAAGTGTGTCAAAAAAATTGTAATAGTATGACAAGGAATTTGCTAAATTTAGTCTGCACATTTATTTTCATTTCAAGAATAAAACATACACTAGCACGCATATTTAAAGTTTGGAGGGAACATTTTAAAAAAATTGAATATATCTATTAATAAATGCATTAATGTCAATTTCAATTACAGGTAACATCAACATTTGCTGCACCATGAAATATCCAACTTTTAGAAACCTTGGCTATGTTTGACTCATAAATTATCATACCATGTGTGTATTCTTGTTATTTGAATGTCATATAGACTTTATTTGTACAAGTTCGATTTCGAAATCTAAAATTTTATTCAATGACATGAATAATTCTCAAATGTAGCATATTTTGAATGAATTATCTAATGCCAAACAGCAGTTTGACAAGATGCGTTATACAATATTTGTGTTATACAATCACTCATAAAACATTATAATGTCCGCATTTAGTACGAATATGATTTGCACTTATTAAACAATTCGAATAGCATGTAATTAACTTACATAACTTGAAATTTTCCAGAAACCGCTAATCCTAAATAATAAATTGGATTAAGTCCAGGCACAGCCTACGACGTTTCCTCTTCACAGAACTTGTCAATATTTTTTTTGTAGCATTCATAACATTATTTGACATATCAAATAGCAACAAACATCAATCACAATATAAATATCACGTCCTTTGTATAAAAATATCTCTTAAACTATTTTATGAAAGCCTTATGCTAATTAATCACTACAAAACATACTAAATGATAAAATGCACCCGACAAAGTATGTGTCAATGTGTCAAGCGGTGTATGTCAAACATATTCCTTGTCATAGCCGAGATCGAGATACGTCATCAAAAATAATTAAAAATAAATATGAGTAGTTTCTACATGTGCACTAATTAAAACATACTTATACACACATCAAACATATTTTGATAAATTTGCGCAAATTTATTTATCTTTAACCAAACTCACCTTTGTTTGTCAATAAACTATGAAAAATCACAATATTTTTTATCTCGATCAGTTTTTCTAGAATTTAAGTAATTAAAGGTTAAATTATATGGTATATAAAATGTTTTTAGTAATTCAATAGTTTCTTGATAAAATATTATTAATTTTTGAATTTTACAGTATACTATTCTTTCCTTTACACTGGCATTACTGCAAAGATTTAACGGCGCGGAATATGATTTGATGTTCACACATAAGCAAACAAAAACATAAGCAAATAAACGCTAATTATTTCTTAATGTTAATAATAATAATAATGATTATTTAATTTAACACTTTAAAAAATTGAAGATTAACTAGGATTAAGAATTATTAATATTTTCCATTTCTTTAAAATCGTTTATTTTACGAAATGTTTATTATAAAAATTTCTCATATATTAGATTTTTTAACGTTTATTATTTATTACATCAACTTCTAAATAGTTTTTGAAGAAGTTTTGCATTTCACATCACATTATATTTTGCTTTTTTAACTTCCCGTAGGGCAAGTTATAGTAATCGCAAAAAAATCAAAAATTAAAATTTTTATATATCTTTACGTTTCAGAGGTTTCTGAACATTTTGGCATACCTTAGAAAAAATGGATGTATGTGTGTGTGTGTGTGTGTATGTATGTATGTATGTATATATGTGTGTGTATGTACGTGCGGATACAAATTTTCGTCGACAATTTCGGGAACATGGATCAACCGATTTGAATCAAAAAACATTCGATTCGTATTGATAAGAAAACGTCCTGATTAGTTTTTGGCGAAGGCAGGTCTAGCCGTTTCGAAGATACGGGGCAAAAAGTGCCGAAAACGGTAACTCAGTTTTTAAGAGAACGGAACGTCCGATTTGAATAATTCAAAAAACATTTCACTTGTATGTACAAGATGAAGAATCGATAAAATTTTCATGAAGGTAGGTCTAGTGGTTTCAGAGATATGGAGGAAAAAGTAAAAAAAATGAGCCATTTGGCGGTCAAAAATGATCATTAGACATATGCACTTCAAATTATCAGATGTTTTATAGAGATTTCAACAATAAGTATACATTTTGTTAACATTCCTGTGGGTTCCGTACCAATGCTTATGCGTTAGACAGCGACGCGGCGCTTACGCGCTTTATATTTTGTCCCTATGCAGTTAAAGCAGTACGATTGCTTTGAAAAAAGTTTAGATCTTTCAAAATATGTCAAAATAAAAAAAACTTTTTCAAAAAAAAAAAAAATTAGAAAAAAATAAAAAAAAATTTTTTTTTTCAAAAAAAAGTAATTTTTTGTCGAATTGTTTGTCAAAAATCTTATTATTTCGAAGTAATTTTTTTTTCAAAAGTGTTAATCGTTTTTAAAAAAATAATAATTTTTGGTACGGGAAGTTCCATCAATTTGCCTTAAGGCACGATGCCTTAATTGCCTTAAGACAGAATTCCTCTTACAGCTAGTTTTATATTATATTTATAATATACAGTAGAAGTTCCTTATTTGCGCTTCCTCATTTTCGCTATTCGCAACCAAAAAACTGTGACCCAATTCCTATACTCGCAGCTAAAAGTTTCGTTATTCGCGGATTCCAATATGTATCGAACCCAAAATCCTTTGTAAATGCCGTCATTTTGAACTATCGATATTTTTGAGAATGTAAACTAATATAATGAAAACAACCTTATTTATTGACTCAGTGAATAAAATAGATTTTTAGTAAAATTTGACTCAAATCGACATGAAATCCACATTCCCAGCCCATTGAAGAAGAGCAATTCATTTCAATTGCTTCTACAAGCAATAGAAATGTGACATTTAATTTGAAAAACCTTAGCGAATAATTAAAAATGTACTGTGCGATATCTATATGGGCATTGATCCCATGGAAAGTGTTATTTTTAAGAGGCAAATTACTGTTGTGATTGAGTACCAGTTTGAATTAAAGAAGCAAAGTTTAATGATAACTAGTGAGGCGCATATCGTGCCTTAAGGCAAATTGCTGGAACTTCCCGTACCAAAAATTATTATATTTTTTAAAACAATTAACATTTTTGAAAAATTTTACTTAAAAAAAATTAGATTTTTGAGAAACAATAAATTTTACAGAAAAATACTTTTTTTTCAAAAATACTTATTGATAAAATCTCTATAAAATATCTGATAATTTGATGTGCATATGTCTAATAATCATTTTTGCCAATGGCATTTTTTTTTACTTTTTTCATTAGATCTCCGAAACCGCTAGACCTGCCTTCATGAAAATTTGATCAATTCTTCATCTTGTCAATACAAGTAAAATGTGTTTTGAATTATTAAAATCGGACGCTCCGTTCTCTTAAAAACTGAGTTACCATTGTTGGCACTTTTTGCCCCGTATCTTCGGAACGGCTAGACCTGCTTTCGCCAAAATCTAATCAGCACGTCTCCTTGTCAATACGAATTGAATATTTTTTGAATTATTCAAATCGGTTGATCGGTGTTCCCGAAATTGTCGACAAAAATTTGTATCCGCACACAAATACACACACGCACACACACACATACACACAGACGCACACATACATCAATTTTTTCTAAGGTATGCCAAAATATTCAGAAACCTTTGAAACGTAAAGATATATAAAAATTTTCATTTTCGATTTTTTTGCTATTACTATAACTTGCCCTACGGGAAGTTAAAAATATTAACAGTCGTTTGAATCATATCCTTTGGATATACACATAGATGAAAGAAGAGTTGGATATACATATATAAGGTTGTTCGGAAAGTCACTTCGTTTTTTTACCACCAGAATTTAACTGTATTTTTTGAAGCCAACATTACACTTAAGCCCTATAATAATTATATGATTTGAAAACTTATATTTTAAGGCGTATGTGTAAAAATTTCTAATCGATTACATGCAGTAGTTTTTGGATGGTGCCACTTTGAATACGGAAAGAATTAAGCAGCATTTTCGACAGATTTTACTCTTTTGCTGTAGAAAAGGTAAAAAAACTGTTTAAAACAAAATGAAATTGATCGATGGGTACGGAAATGACGTGTTGATAGTACGACTGTGCCAAAATTCGGTTTGCTAAATTTCATTCCTGGTATTTTGATGTCCAAAATGCATCAAGTCCAAGAAGTACGGTTG